GAAGAGCTGTTAGGAGTACTAGGATCCAATACATAGAAACCACCTTAAGTAGGGTAACTCCACTCAGAATCGGAATCTCTAGTTTCCAACATCACCCTCTGGCCTCCTTATATGGCCCACATGTGATCTTACATATCTATCTTAGTTGCATCCATTAACTATAATATCACAGAATTGAAAGTATCAGAATATTACAATATATGGCGATACCATCTATTCAACTAGATTCTGTTTACAGGGTATATGAGAGGGAACCTTCAGCTAAGTCTAAGAAGTAGAACAGAGTAAATCAGTCAGCTACTCAGAAAGTTACTAGGCTTGAAAGATAAAATGTCATTGAAGTAGACTGTAGGTAATGGGACATATTCGCACAAAGATATGATAATGAATATTAAAGGATCTCTACAAAGAGCTAACACACTCTCATCAACTCTATAATAGTTAGAAGAGTCCAAAATCCTGAGGGACACTACCGAAGAAGCCAATGGACTTCGCGGAGTGTTAAAACTAGGTCTAGTGATAGGCCCTGGTTGCAGGAACTTTTTCCAATACTAAACAGCAACTAAAGCCCCGTTACCTAAAACAACCAAGGATTGCTGACTATGGGATTATCTGCCAATCCAGTAGAATAGCTTTCTGTAAGTTAGTAGGAAGTCATCCAGAGGACATCTGTTGGTTAGATCAGAAGTTATAGAGGTTTAAAGTTGGTGACCTAAGAAGGTTGCATCTATGACTACTCTTACAGACATGATCTATAAATGAAACTAATCATTTCATCAATTAGGGGAGACAATTAGGGCCAACACAGTTCAACATGAGAACTAGGCTACAAGTCCAATAATTCTGAAGATGGAAGAATTACTATTAGAAATAGTATTGTTTTCAATTAGCAAAATAGTAATTACCGAAGTAGATATGATAGTTTTCAGGGTCTCTTAGTATTCGCACTTCAGGAGAATACCCAACATTGTAAATTATAGTTAAAGAAGTACATGATTTGTATGAGAAATAGATATAGTCTGCAAACACTCAGACACAGAATATAAATATTGAAGTGTCTCTCAAGCTTTTAAACATTATCAAGCAATGGAGAAGAGACCTTAACAATATAATATTGTTTTTACAATTCTATTCTATTCTACCTTACTCTTAGTAGTCATAAATGAAATAAGTTATCTTTTGAGCCTTTCTAGATAAATCTCCATCAACAAAATGATTCTCAATTGGTCTAGACAATTCTGAGTCTCTATGGATCATTTTTACCTAACAGGAGCCGCTTAGTCCAAATCAGGTCAACTGTGAGTGACTGGAGTAAATAACAAGGAACTATTATTTTCTGCATCTTTGCTACTGGGGCTATGCAAGTGAAATCTCTTCTTCTATATAAGGAAGTGGAAGTTCTTACTTGGGAATGTGATAGAATGCGAAGTGCTGCAGTAGAGATGGAGCAATATGACCTCCACATTCTGGTCAAATTTAACCCTAATATGTATGCCAATAGATCAGTACTTGTTGACAGTATTAATGATATGCTGGAACCTATATTGCCTGCAGGGCCTCATCTCTTAGCCCTTGACGTTGCTAAGTTTCACGAAACTGATTCTGTATTTGATATACTGTCCTCTTACAACATTTTTCCCTCTATGGTTCCAGCAGGCTGTACCAGCATAGTCTAGCCACTCAATATAGCTGTGAACAAGCCGGTTAAAGAACTTTTAAGAGAATTAATTGAGCACATGCTGGATGATTATAAGGAAGCTAGTGGGGAGGATCTTCAAGAAAACTTACAGGCCAGTATTGTAGAAGACAGGTATGTACTCATTTAGAAATATGTGGCTGATACCTGAGGGCAATTTTGCACTACAGAAGATGATGCCTTTTGGAAGCTTGGGCTCTCCCTACCTATTAATGGCACCTGCGCTGATGAAATTTCAATTCAGGGTATTGATAAGCACTTATTAAAGATAGGTGACTGGAGATGGGATGAGGGAATGCGAGTAGCAGAAATAGAAAATTGGTAAGGTGTGGGCGACCCTGGGTATGAGGATTTTGAGGCTAAGGCTACTGATAAGATGAATATACTACCATATCCTCTCTGTGAATTCACTAGTACCAGAAGATATCGTACTATCAGGGAGACACTAAGCGAGGTGTAACTAATAGGATCGAGTAACTGGACATGATCCAGAAATTAGGTTTCAGATTCTTGGGATATAAAGTAATGACTGCAAGCCAATAGAAGGTAAAGCCTAGAGTATGAGTATTTTTGACACAAGTAATGAGTCTTTATAGAAGCATCTTGAGTCATCAGAATACAAGAACTGTTTTTAAAGAGAAAGAGTAGATATATACCTGTACTTAATATGTAGGTAGTATAGCCATGAATAGTATTTTAAACTATGAATTTTCAAAGTTAGTTTTATGGCAGATCATTCATGATTCTGTGATTTTTATTACCTTTTTATCTTTATCTACAATGTCTCCAAACCAAAGTTCAAATCTGTATTTCGGACCCATACCAAAATTGATAATCGAGCAAAGTCTAAGAGCAAAAGATCTTAAACCAATTGTCAGACCTGAGCGTAGTTATAGCCAGAGAGATAAGATACGAGTACTCACCTATCTGGAGTATCACCGTATTCCACTCTGAGAGCCAGGCCAATTCCGCAAGCCCAGTCAGATGGAAGCCAGTAATCGCTATAGGATTACTCAATGAACAATTAGTGAATGAGTTAAAAGAAAGCATTTATTGGAAGAGGAGGAATTCAATACTCAGGCAAGAAGGGTAGAGCAAAGCTTAGGGGGGGAGTGTCGACCTAGGTGGCTGGAACTAGAAGAGGCAATTTATAGCAATTTTATAAAATGTCGAGAGGAGGGGAGAGTTATTCAACGAGGATGGTTCTATATTCAGGCTAGCTTTCAATTTCGTGAATTATATTAGGATCTCGATCCAGCAGAATTTCGATTTAGTGATGGCTGGTTTTATCGATTTCTCGGAGGCACCGAATTAGTTTACGGTATATTACCAAGAAAGCTCAAAAGATTCCTACTGAATATCAGTTATTGGTACGCAATTGGCTCAGCTTTAACCGATGAAATTCACAACCTTCTTACCTATTCCCATTCCTCAAATTGGTTCTCAATACCCCTACCAATCGATTTCAAGAATCCAATATCTGCAACCTTGATGAGACTCCAATTCCTTTTGAGTATCTGGAGGGAAAGACTTACAATTCAATTGGAGTAAAAACTATTTAGGCAAAATCATCCCAGAATGGTGGGGATAAATGGCAAGCATCTTTAGTACTTTGTGTTTTTGCAGATAGCGTACCGAGAGTTCCACCGATGATTATACTTCGAGGAAAAGAAGAGAGATTATGAAGGGAGAGAGAGCAATACCATCCTGGGGTGGAGGTTGAATTTAATGAAAAAGCCTACATGAATGATAGGCTTTTTCTCCAATATATTGAGGAACACCTTGTACCTGCCTTAGGTAGCCAGTCTTTGCTTTTTGCAATCGACCTGATGGGACTCCATAAAATACCAGCAGTTCTTGATCTGTTACATTCGTATAACATTATCCCCTCTCTTATTCCTGGAGGCCGTATAGGACTTCTTCAGTCACTCGATGTCTCAAGCAATAAGGTATTCAAAGAAATGATTCGAGAACTTACTGATGATGCAATTTTTGATGCCGAGAATGCAGAATCCTTCCATAAGTGGACTGTTAGCTATTGCTGAATCCCGACAACCTCCTGTGTTGGTGATTCTTTTTACCAATTTCATCTTGAGAAGAGTGAGATAATTCGCTGAGTGTTCCGCCAGGTTGGACTTTCTCTTCCGGTTGATAGTACCTGTAACTTTGAGTTAGATATTAAAGGTTTTTCTAAGCTAGACATGGGTGATTGGAGTAAAGATGATACAGTGCTTGAGGAGAGTGAGGAGTCTGGAATACCTGAGGTGGGTGACCATGAAGCTATAGAATTTGTACATAGCAATGGGTGATCGAATCTAGAGTTCTATCTCTAAATGGAACTATAGCACACGAATACAGTATGCTGTAAAAACTGGAAATAATTGGACCATGTACTATGTCGTTAGACTTTTCTCTCTTAGTAAGGTCAAGGAACTGGGAGAAGAACTATATAGCAAAGTGTCTGGGGCTTTTACCAGATAAAGAAATTATTGTAAATCATTGGCATATTGTGGTATCATTGATAATATGACCTTAACTCATTCCGAATAACCACTTTTGATTCAGAAATTATCATCTCTGGTATGAACTTGAACGATACACAAGAAGAATCTGAAAGCCCGATATCAGACTTTCTAGACTCCAGGGAAACGCCGGTCCAGATATCCTGAGGTTGGCCTGCTGTCAAAAAGGAAACAAGGTTCCAATTTGTCATTGCTGATTACTACTCAAAATGGCATGATGAGACCTCGCCTATCCGTTCCACCAATTTTGGCGCTAGCGAATTCGCGGAGAGGATACGGTACTGGAGATTGATTTGGATGAAGAAGACGATAATTTACAGATCTTGTAGACAAAATTTAATATAATTACCTTCTTCTAAGACATGCTATTGATCTAGATCATGCGATAATCTTGGCACTTGTCTCACTGTGACACACTTTATCTCAAAGTATTAGTGGCAGGCGAAAAAAACCAGGTAATACGGTATGATACATTGATATTGTACTGTACCCCGATACGCAGGCAGAGACGATACGATACCTATTTGTGCATGAAGAATCCTGGCATGACCCGCCCGCCAGTTTCACACAGAATCTGCATTATCAACACCGGTACTATAGAGGAAGATATGCCTACTTGACACTTTTTAAAGTCGCTAGAACATGAATTACGTATCAGTGGCCCAAGTTGCGGTACTAGTTCCCAAAAAATCTACAGTATACCGTCAACATTTGTGTGATTGCGGTGAGAAAAGATACAGCATCACTGGCGAAGGCAAAACGATATCACACTCCAGACCGAATTATGTGCATACAATGGAATCAAATACATATGATTACCCAAGAAATACCGTATCATAAACCTTCATTGTTGTCACCCCGAACACAAATTTACAATCTCCAGTCATGACAAAAGAAATTTCATTACTGCCTTGTTGAAAATGAATCATAGCCCACGCTCCATTTATTATTTTTTGTGAGTAAGGAATTAGGAATCTATTCCTCCTCCTCTTCTTCCTCACCATCACCCTTAGACTCAGCAGCCTTGGCCTTCTTTCTTCTGTTACGTCCAGGACGCCCACCACCGAATGGCGAGCTCAAGGCAAAGTCGATATGCTTCTGAGAGTCAAGACGAACAATGAAAGAAGGGACGTTCACAATCTGCTTCCCGACACGGATGTGGCGCTGGCGGATAAGGACACGGGCGTGGTGGATAGACTTGGCGAGGCCGAGCTTGTAAACTTGGGTCTATAGATAAAATTCTTAACCACGATATCCAAAACATAGGAAAGCGAATACAATACCTGAAGACGGCGCTCCAAGAAATCCTCAGTGCGAAGAGCCAACACGTAATCCAATTTCATGCGGGAATCATCCAGGACACCAACACGGACTAGACGGCGAATAAGAGCATTACCCTCGAAGAGACGCTTAGGGTCCTTCTCATCCAAAGTCAAAAGTTGACGGGCAGCACGACTACATCCAATTAGCATAGCCCTCACCCATTAAAGGACGGGCATATATACCGGATTTTGGAGAGTGTCAACTGAACTCTCCAAACTTCTCTCTTGTTGCGAAGACCATATTCACCAACAATCTTCAATTCAGAATCGCTACAATCCCGCAAAACCAACACATCAGTATCCCCATAGTTTGGGTCATGTTTAATGCGGAGACATAAGAATGAGCACGCTCAAACCCATTGGTACTCACAGACGGGCCGACTCAAATGGACGACGAGGGACCTGTAAAATTAAGGTTAGCAGAACATTGGACATGAAACAATTAACACAAGGGGACTTATTGTAGGTCTTAGAATAACTGCGAGGGGCCATGGCGTGTTTATGGCTCTGATGGCGGAGAGAAGGTTAGTATCGTCCGGTTGAGGCGTTGGTTGTTATTGTTGTTTGTCGGATGCCCGAAGCTTGAGAAAGTCCCCGTACCTGTTGTGTGCCAAGAGTTCCCTTTAGCAGTCGTACGTGCAAGAATTAAGGGTAAACCCTCAATTTTCGCACACACAAGCCTCTCTCCCCACATCACTACTTTCCTGTCGACAATTACAAACGCATCCGCCGGCACCCGAAAATTCTTCAGCAACAACCTTTGACAATTCTGACACTCCGATTCAATGTGAGTGGCATCAGTCCTTCCCCTAGTCGAAATCAGCAAAATCTAATGGTTATTCTAGGGGTCACTCTGGCGGTATTCGTTCCGGTACTAGATATGCGTTCTCACGGAGGTTCCGTGAGAAGGGCATGATTCGCCTTTCCACATACCTTAAGCAATACAAGTACATTATTCCCGCCTATTTGAACTCTCGAGGGAGTAGCAACTTATAATCTTTAAAATAGGGTTGGAGATATTGTTGACATCAAAGCCAACGGGGCCGTTCAGAAGGGGTAAGCTCATTACCCTAGTTAAGCCAGAAATCTACGGATGCGAGGAGCTACGATGCGAATCTATTTCTATCCGAGGCCGGTGCGGTTTGAACGGCTATGCTGACCTGCAATATAGTATGCCTCACAAGGTCTACCACGGAAAGACCGGTGTCGTCTATAATGTAACCAAGTCAGCCCTGGGCGTTATTATCTATAAGAAAGTCGGAAACCGTTACCTAGAGAAGCGCGTAAACGTCCGCATCGAGCACGTCAACCACTCGAAATGCCGACAAGAGTTCCTGAACCGTGTCAAGGGAAACGCTGCGAAGCAGAAGCAAGCTAAGGAAGACGGAACCCACGTTCATCTCAAGAGACAGCCAGTCCAGCCCCGCGAGTCTCGTACCGTCTCCACCCAGGACAATCTCCCAGAAACTGTTACTCCGATCCCTTACGAGACAACCATTTAAATGGAAACTTTAGTTGGATTGTTTAGGGCTTCTTTTCTTGGTTTTTCTTTGGGTGTTAAAATAAAATAAAAAGTTGATGAGCAATAGTTCCTGGCAGTTTCGCTTGTCCAATACTTCGATGGGGGTTTTCTTTTTATGAGTAGCTCAGTCATGGGGGGCACAATCTATCAATGATTGCACCCCCACTTTTACTAAATTGAAGCAGCGACAGTGGGATAATGCAAACCATATCGCACCGCATGACCTAACGGATAAGAAATTTTGGCTTTACTCTTCACTAGCGCTCAAAGGCATATTCCGTATCCGTATCGCGCACAACCGGGGTAGCACCAGCCTTGATAGTGAGTGGGGTTTCATAGTTACGATCCTCCATTCGTTCTCGCGATGACATCTTTTTGAGAAACACTTGTATGACGATGACGATACAAGTTTAAGCAATAGTTCCCGGATGTTTAGTTAATGGAACAAGCTCAAATGCTTGAATAAAAATGTGGCTTCGCTATCTACCATTGGACCAAAGCCAATTGACCATCCATGGGCATTTCAACTCCATCCGAGCCATCCCCGTTCAACGGTCGCTCAACTCGCCGAGCAGAATTACCAAAAGAAGCGGCTGTAGAAATACAGAGATAAATAAATAATTCTACTTCGTAATCACTGTATTGTAGGCTCGCACCTGCACTGGATACGCAGAGTCCTGAGCCATAACCATTAGCAGTACTGTACTTTGCGGGCATCATACAGTATCATGTTCTAAATCAACTGTAGCGCAAACGAACGAAGGCTCGTTTCCCCACACCGAGCGAGCCCTGCCTGCAATGCTAACCCCAAATTCCTCAGAGCCGCAGAAGAAAAAAATCTTAACCATTCCACCTACCACTACCCTATGCCATAAAACGAAGAAAGCCCTTCAAATCAATTAAAAATCTCCCCTTCGCCCACTTGCAAATAAATCATAACGAATCCTTTCTCCCTTCCCTCCTTCCCCCTCTCTTTTTCCTTATATGATCTGCTGATTCCCATCCACAAACCAGCTGAAGGTATACACAGCAAACAAAGGAAAAAAGCAAACATGAGTATCCTACGGCCGACTCCTCCGGACACCCAATTGCACGCAGAATTGAAGACTACAGCGGCGGATAGGCTTCCCACAAGTCGAGAACTTGGAGTAGTAGTACCAGAACCGGGATCCAGAGAAGCAATTCAAAAAGTTGAGTGGAAACCATGGGCGCATTTTGTTGCCGGGGCGTAAGTTTTTCCCTTTTCTTTTTCACCGTCTTCTTTTCCTTTTGCCCCACTACGACCCCGCCATGCAGTATCCCCCAAAAAAGAAGGATGGCTAATATTTGGCATTTTTTTCGGAGATAGGGCAGGAGGAATGACGTCCACGTTTTTGACATCACCGTTAGATGTAGTCAAGACGAGACTCCAGAGTGACTTTTACAAGCAGCATTTAGCGAGCGCTAGAGCGACTGCGGGAGTCGACATACACCGGGGGGGAATACTCAGGCAGGGTACTAGGCATATTCAAGAAACCTTCCAGATACTCTTGTAAATCATACTCCTCCTCCATAAGTACTCAGTTTGACCCAATTGCTGATACACCTACTTGTTCAATAGCGACGTACATAAAGTCGAAGGGTGGCGCGCACTGTTTAAAGGATTGGGGCCAAACCTGAGCGGCGTTGTCCCCGCGAGGTGCCCTACCTCCTCCGTACAAACCGACCTCCAAGCTAACAATATTCACCTCTAGGGCGATAAATTTTGCAACCTACGGCAATGGCAAACGCGTAATAGCAAACAACTTTAACCATGGCCAGGAATCCACCTGGGTCCACCTCTGTGCAGCAGCCTGCGCCGGCGTCGTAACAGGTACTGCAACAAACCCCATCTGGCTTGTTAAGACTCGACTCCAACTCGACAGAGAAAGCGCCGGCGCGGGCGGCCGCACAAGGCAATACAAAAACTCCCTCGATTGCGTCCGACAAGTTCTCCGCGAGGAAGGCTTCCGCGGCTTATACAGGGGATTATCGGCGAGTTACCTCGGCGTGACGGAGAGCACGCTGCAGTGGGTGCTGTACGAGAAGATGAAGACCTACCTTGCCGCTAGGAAGGAGAGGGTTTTGGTCAGCGGGCGGCCGGAAACGGCTTGGGATAACCTTGTGGACTGGGGCGGGAAGCTGGGGGCTGCTGGATCGGCGAAGTTGCTAGCGGCGGTTTTAACGTATCCGCATGAGGTTGTGAGGACCAGGTTGAGGCAGAGGCCTGTTGGCGGGGGGAAACTAAAGTATACGGGACTTGTGCAATGTTTCAGGCTTATCTGGAAGGAGGAGGGACTTATCTCAATGTATGGGGGGTTGAGTCCGCACCTGGTGGGGTCCTCCTTGTTCGACTGGCTCCTCTGATTGCCACACTTTTTACTGACTGGTGGTGAATATATAGCTCCGAGTTGTACCCTCCGCTGCCATCATGTTCGGAATTTACGAAACGATACTTAGATTATTCGGCGAATCTGCTTAAACTTCACTATACTCGACTCATCTCAACCTCACCCAACAATCTACCAACCAATCACTTATTGCTTGCCGCTACTAATACTACTACTACTCCCCCGAGCCTCTATTTAGACCACCACCTCACCGTCATCATCATTCTTATTGTCGCCATCATCACCACCTGCTGCTACTTAGGCTCGTTTTTCCCTTGTCAATGACCGCAACCAACCGAAACGCACCAATTGGCGCCAGGCGCCCAACCCTGGGTGATATGCCAAAAACACGAAACCGGGAGCGGGGGAATTCCTTATAAATAAACAAAAACTCTCCCTCTCAAAAAGGAGAGGAGACACCAATCTGTATATAAAACCTAGCTGTGGTATACTTTTTTCTACGGTACATAGGAGTTCTAGCACCATCATCGTCACCATCATGTTTTTCTTTCGGGAAAACAGAAAAAGGCCGCGGTTCAGGACAAATAAATCACTCTACTTTTTCTAGTCATGTATAAAGTGTATGATACTCAAGTAGCCGGATTAGACTGGAGTTGCTCTTGCCTTGGTGGTAAAGCTCAATCCGGCGACTTGTGTTAAAGCCCAAAAAAAAAAAGGTAGAACCAAGGGAAGGAGGGGGCAGATCGAATTTACTACTGTACGATATTATCATAATTTCGCTCGTAATATAAAGCTACTTTTTTTTTAAAAAAAAAAGGGAGGGGGGGGTTCTCTCTCTAACCACCCTTTTTCAACTGTTTATACCACTTAACCGCGTCATCCCTTAACGACTTCTCCCCAGTAAAGTCCTGGATCCTAGCCTTCTGGCTCATAAGCGTCATTTGCGACTTTGTATCTCTAATGCGGGAGTATTCTGCTCATCCACTCGTCAGTGAAAACCCCAAATCAATAAACTTAGGGAGTTCCAATAAACGAACCAGAAAAGCCCCTATCAATAAACTCCAACGCGCGATGTAAGCATTCATTCCTTCCTGCCCCCTTCTTAGTCCCCGCAAGTCCCATCTGTGCATCCGCCAGGCATGAAAAGCATTGAGCGTTGAGGTACGCGTCCTCGCACTCGAGGACTTGGGGCATGATGTTGTCCATCATTGAGTACGCCGCTGAAAACTCGCCCATGTGGATTAGGATGTTGGCGATTGTGCGGAAGGCTTGGAAGAGGGCTGGCAGCAGGCGGGAGCGCCAGGCAATCGTTGCAGCGCTGATGGCTACGGAGAGGCCTTTTACTGTGCGGCCACATTTCTGGGATGTGTTAATGTAGTTTAGTGTGGGAGGAGCTGAAGGGGGTATACAGAGAGAAGATCAGCCTTAATAGTCATCACTCGTATGCGGTGGTAAGTGTCTGCTCGGTCCCGTACCAGCTCTTCTGAGAGTTGGGTTATGGCGGTTAATGCCTGGGGCTCTTTAGTGGATGCGCGCATCTACCCACCACGTAACAAAACCTACAGCCGAATAATTCCCCCGACGAGCAAGGAGGTCAAGCCTACAAACCGAAATTTCCAATGCACAGTCAGGCTCCACGTAAGGCGAAGCTGAAAGTTGTTGAAGTAGTAGCTCCGCCGCTGCTGCATCGCCCCTAGAACCGTATAATGTAAGTATATATTAGAAACATTGTGCGGCAGGAGGGACCGTACCTGTACATAGCTTGCCTAAGCTTCAAAAGGCCAACATATGTTGCCCAATACTGATATACCTTGAGTGTGCGCAGGCACTCCTGGTCTACCTGATCCAGCCTTTCCAATGCTTCGTCTGTCTTCCCCCGCAGAGACATCTTTCACAAACTATTAGCCCTTAGGCACCGGGAACAATAGTGGACTCTTACAATATAAGCACTCCGACAAAGCGCCTTAACAACATCCTCTATAGGAGAATTAACCCTATACTTCGAAAGAAATAGCTCGCAGTTCATCCAGGACAGATACGAAATACCTAACTTATCAGCAAGACCCAACAACTAGAAATATCAGAACCCTCATACCCATGCGACTCCACAACGAAGACTGTAACAAAATCTGTGAACCCATCGCGTTATGTATATTCTTAGTCACATTTAAATGAGAACTGCGCAGTATACTCTCAAAGGCAGCCGGTATTGATTCACCCTAGAAAAAATATCAGAAGTGAGTTAAATTTCGATAACCAGGGGAAACGGTCAGACCCCAACGAGTATTTGCTTAGCTTCGGAGAGATGCGCCATAGACTGTAAATGGTGCATTCCACCCTCCTTGGCCTTTGCTTTAAGGAACTGCAGCGATTCACGTTCCATCCTTGAAGATATGACATCTGGACAGTCTTGTGGGTGGGCCTTGTGAAAATGATATAACCACGATAGCGAGAAATTCAAGCAAGCCATATCTTTGTTTTCCCGGGCTGTATTTATAGTTTCTTGCATAGCCTGCAACATATTAATTCACCTTCCACCCACCACACAGATAGCGGGGAAAACAAACCAGTATAGACTCCCGATAACACCCGAAATCCGCCTGCAAAATCGCAAGATTCAGCAAAGCATACTGGTAGAAGGTTCTGCAAACAAGACAAAAATCAGCCATAATTCACAAGGGCACATACACCAACTAATGAGACAGAAACCCACCGATCTCGATTATGCATCGTATAGTCAAAGTACCGGTGCAAATTATCAAATGACCCCGGATAATCCCCCGACCGCCAGGAATTCAGAAACCTACCCAAACGAACCAATCAACCAACCATTCCAACAATGGCAAATCTCAAAATAGGCATACTGCTCACTCAACATAATGCGTCAACGCAGGAATAGTAACATTAGTACTAAGCATCTGCCTCAATTGGACCTGCATGTCATCCGGTATCCTCGTGCCCATTCTCTGCATAGAGTCCACCTGGAATTCCAATAGTCTTTCCACATCGTCTGTGGAAACAGTGCCTATAACAACCCCTATCAGCACCCCCCTCCCCCAAAGGAACTGATAGAGAGGAAAAACGCACAATCCCGGCTCTCCTTCCCCTTCCCATAAACCACCCCAACCATCCCATCACCAAACCCCAACCCCTTCAAATTAGCATCAAAGCTCATCGGCCCAGCGCCCAAATTCCTCTTCTTCCACATCGCCAACGTCGGCTCACGATAAGCAATAAAGCTCCTCCACAGAGACACGGCGTCATGAAACTGCAACCGGACATACTCCAGCGCCGCCCTCCTGACAAAACACCCCAGGACAGAAGTCCTACTCAACATGGACTTCTCCCCATGCACCCTCACTGGGGACTTATCCGCGCGCTCGGGCTCAATCAGGTAAGTCTGTATGTTCGCAAAGAACGTGTGAAGGGCATCGAAGGAGTTGATTTCCCACAGTTTCTTCAGCAGCAAGTCGAAGATCGTGCGACCTACGACTGCGCTGGGCTGGTGCAGTGTTGCGGACTTTATGTTCTCGAGGGTCAGGATGAAGGCGGTGTTTTCTTTCGAGCTCACCAGGTGCCGGATCACGAAAGAGAGGACCGGGACCACGGATTGGTTGGGGAAGCGCGACTCTGCGTAGAGTTCTACGAGGGCAAGGAGGGCTATCTTGCCAGAAGCTGGTTGGATGGGGGTGGTAATTAGTATCTCCGACTGTTATTGGGGAAGGCTGGAAGGTGGGTGACTTACTGAGGTATCGTGACATGGTTGTTCGAGAGCAATAGGAGCAGAAAGTGAGAGATCGCAACTGGTCGAGGAAGTACACTTTCAAGGTGGGACGCGCATGACGTGACGCGGGGCCTTCGAGGCTCAGTCACGTCTTGGCGATCTTGGATCACGGCTCGGAAACCAGGGGGTTTGCCGTAAATTTACAGTGTGGCTTATTGCAACGGCCGCCTTAGGAGTGGCCCAAGTAGAATTCAAATGCTAAAAGCACTCAGAATCAGAATCGTGACATTGCGCAAGCGACGCGATGGACATTACTATTTTATATTTGTACGACCAGCAACCTATATTACTCAAGTACCGTACAGTGCAGCACAAAAACTATACCCAAACAGTACGCCTTTGCCCATAATTACCCTCGCGTTCTGCGCTTCTATAAACTTGTTTAAAGCTTAATATCCGGTTTTAGCTCCTCTACCTCTTCCCCCGGCTCGCTCTCGTCTTCGGTATCTTGCTCAGCAACCAGAGTAGCACCACCATCAGAGCCTGCCTCATAATCACCATCATCTTCACTTTCTTCACTTTCTTTACCCTCACCATCTTCGTCTTCAGGATCTTGAATCCCGCCCCATTCTTCTTCCTCCTCGCCATCCTCCTGATCCTCATCTCCACCCGCGGTGTTCTCCATGTCCGAGGCAGTACGTTTCCTCCTCATTTCACCAAGTCTGCCCTCTCTACCAGCAAGATCAATACCAACATTGTTATTCTCGCCCTCCCCGTCCTTAGGCGGGGCAGTGAACCAAGGTAATTTCCCTCTCATAAAGTCGTTCAAGACCATCTTTGCAACACCATCCATATCCGCCTCACCACCTTTAAGGAGTCTTCCACCCTTACGGGCAAGCAATTCCAAGAACGAGTGAGAACTGGTCCAACCCTTAATTTCATAAGTCCTCTCGACGTGCTGTCGCTTGCACTTTTCCAAGACGGCAGGGATGTATTGTTCCGGATTTGATACGTTCTCTACTCTTACTACCCCTCTGAGAAGAATATCCGTCTCAGAGTCTGTGGCTGAAGGAGGGACGATACCAGGACAATCGATCAGGAAGATACGGCGCATAAGAGTAATGTACTGCCAGACTTTTGTCTCCCCGGGAATAGGTGCCACTGTACAGACTTTCTTCTTGCGCAATGTGTTTATGACAGAGGATTTCCCAGTATTAGGATATCCAATGAGGCCAACAGAAATTTGCTTCCTATCCGAATGTAGAGCAGAAAACTGGCGAAGAAGCTGAATTAAAGAACCTTTCCCAAACGAGTTATTGATAGACGCATGGAAGGCAAGAGTCGGATAGTCTTTTGACAACCGGCGAACCCATGAAGCCTGCACATCGCCTAAATTAGTCTTTGGTTTCACCCGCCATACTCGCGAGAATCGCGATCCAGAAACATACAACAAGAAATAAAAGGACGAGCAAATGTGTGAATCATAACTAAGAGAATCAAAACGAAACTTTCTCCATAAGAGAAATTTGATTCTCAACTCAATACGAAACCTACACCGATCCCAAGTGACTACCCAAAACGGGAGAAACCGAAACAACCCGCCAACAAAACGTTGGCAGGATGAGGACGGGAAAGGGCTTGATCTCCCAAGGTTGTAACGCGCACCTTTAATCGAGGAAAGCCAATCTCCACAATGGGGGATCGACATAAAGGCGCCCTGACTTGAACGATGGGGCGGTGGAGGCCGCTAGTAGGGAAGATAAGAGAAAAGAGAGGGGTAGGGATGAAAGCGGGATAGGCGATAAATATGAAGAAAAAAGGGGGGAAGCATACCGCAACACTAGTGGGAACTAGATCGCATTTATTCAAGACGAATATTAAATGTTTGTGGGGGGCCTCTTCTTTGATGTACTTTTCCACGCTGCGACAGCGGGTTCCCAAGGGATCCCTAGCGTCAAGGACATGTATCACGACATCAGAAGAATCAATGACCTATCCATAGTTAGCAACCCATTCTGTCAAACTCGTAGAAGAGGAGAGAGAAATCATGCTTTATACAACTCATTCCAAATCCTCTTACTCTGCCCCTTCGAGAAAATCGGCTCCCTCGCCTCCTGAATCCATCCCTCCTCCTCCTTCTCCTCGGCACTCTTCCCAGAAAGCAACAGCTCCGTCTCTAATTTCTCCTTGTACTTGACCTCCAACAATTCACTCTCCCCAACCAATTCTTCCAACCCGGCAACCTGCAACTTAACCCTCTTCCTCTGAGCCTTAGGCCCGAAAGTCTCAGCGAACGGCTGGGTCTCGACATGCACTTTGGCGCTATGCACCTTCTTCCCGACATCCTTCAACAAAGACATGGGCAACTTGTTGCTCTTGAGCAACACCTGATACGGATCCGCCGCCTTCGCCGCCATCGCCTCCCGGAAGCTGGTCAACGCCGACTGCGAAATCACCCTAGTATTGCCGAACCATTTCCGGTTCGGCTCGACCCGCGCGGACGGGACCTCGCGCGATTGGAATGAAGCCGCCTTGATTATGTCGCCGTTGCGGTTCCGGATCGGTTTGCCTTCCTTTAGAGTGTTCAGGCGCGTCACCTTCTTTGTGTCGCGATAGAAATTCTCGCCTTTGAGTTTGACATTGGACATGCCGTCTCCGATGGGCTTCTCCCGCTTTCTGTGGTGGGGTTGGGTCAATATTCAATTGAATTATTTGATAGGGAAGGGGGGTAGACGTACCGCCGACTGGCTTCTTTCTTGAAATTACCCATGATGTATTCGTTTTTTTTTTCGATGGTCGCGATGGTTGGTTGATGACGGTGAATGGAAAAAGGTTATGAACTAAATTTTTTTTTTCCTCTCTCTCTGCACTTCCGAAATTCGTTGCCAAGCACCAGCATTCAATATCCCGCCAAGAAACACTTCAACTGTACTCGTACTATCAGTACAGTATCATACCTAGAAAGCTCTTGGCGGGTTTCCGAGTGCTATTCTGTGACCTCAACTTCACTCTCTCAAACCAACCAACCTAGAGAAACACATAAAGTATCCAGCATGAGTCCGGATTTAGTATAGGCACTCAGATATATGCACACAGATAATTTTGTTCCCCAAGTTCGGGCACAGTAACTTCCCTACCGGATACTTGCACTGTAAGTTAGTGTGCTTGTGTATTTGTACCGTGCCCCCCCCCGATCTCTACATATCGATACATGGTCGGTGAAGTACAGTATGGTACACAAAGTGATCTTTTACGATGAGGGTCCGAAAGCGGTGCCCCGGATGCCTCTTTGGGGTGCATTAGGATCCTTTTTTTGTTCCTCCTGAGCAAATAACAAGGCCCTCCAGGGGTTGCGCACCATGACCTGGCGCATCGCTGTCACCCAGATTCCACAGATTTGCCACCTGGGCGATTACTAGATCCATTTGTTTATCTCACAAAAAAAGAACTCTGTAGACTATTTCTTAATTACAATACCATACTCGTACCATATTATCAAATTGAGTATTTCTGTACAGACTATTCTGATTTATTCATTTTACTCCAGCAATTGGACTGCTCTGTTTGATAGTGCAACTTTTTGATCTTGCTCTCTAGACTTGATGCCATTCTTGTTGAGGTGGTCTAAGGGTTCCTCACCATACAAGTACTTAGGATGTGCACATAAGTCTGTAGAAGTCGGGTATGGTTGTGACGAATGTTAATAACCTCTAAGAAAACCGAAGATCTGCTGCTGGATCAGAACCTGGAGGTTAATATTTACTTGTACCTACTACAAGTAGGACAAATAGGCTGCAGTCGCTAGGTGTCTCGTGGATGGCACAATACAAGGATTGTGGGTCAAGTCTTTGCACACACTACTTTATCCCTGAGCCTTGTATGGTACGAGTACATACCATACTTGAAATGGGGTGGTGAGTAAACGTACTCTGGGCTGGGGTAAAATCCATGAATAGTGGGGTAGTGATTGACAACAAACTTGACAGCCAGATATTCGTGCCCGCCAGTTAGCACTTGAGAAAATCAAAACCTACCAGTTATTATCTTTAAAACGTTTGCTGAATTTCTGTTCTCTGAACATATAACCTTACATGCGCACATGGCCTATAAACTTCATTCGCTCCCCTCCAGAATCCTGTCCACAGACCAACCCTGGTACCAAGTACAGTGAAATTTGTTTCAACCAGGTAAAGAGTAGGTGTGCATGACCATAAGGACAGCTACGGAGGTGCTATCCCCTAGGGTACTGTAATCTTTGTCTTGATTTGAGAGGGGAAAAGAGCCTTGCGAACACTTGGCATGAAAGAATTCAAAATACTCGACCTTATGATTAGCCGTCTGGGCTACAAGGTAATCAAGGCAGGTCCGCTGTATTTACATTTAGCAAATATTGGAGAATGGCTAAAATATTGCGGGGATGTATACTGGGGCCAGGTATCTGTACCCTGTACAGAGAGTTATTGTTGCTCCTCTGGGTACTGGGAATCCGGTATGAGTACTCATAAGGAAACATTGCATAGGATTTTGGAAGGGGTTGAGACAAGGTTAATTATCAATCTTCTCACACACTGCAAATCGAGCCCTAATATAAGTTGCAGATTTCGATGTAGCAATGGTTTTTCCAATGGGCTGAGAGTTTATATTCTGGTTTCCTACAGTCACTTGGCAGAAGTGTTCGTGATCTGAGACAATGTTTAATTGTGGTTGTACTATATAGTGGGGCAGTGCCAGTGGGATTGTCACTGGGTGTGCACGCGAGTTCAAGTTCACGATTAACAACTACTGTTACCTCTCAACATTCAACGGTCAATTCACCTGCCATAAATTAAACTAGCTAATATTTTGTATAACCTTCCCTTGCTTCTAAAACTGCAGCCACCCTATCAGGTATTGATTTTCACAACTTCTCAAAAAACTTCTCAGGAATTGTCTCCCAAACTAATGGTAATACATGTGCAAGTCTTCTCCTAACAGCCTCTTTTCCTCCTGGAGTATTTGCAATCCTTAGATACTGCTGGTACAATCACTTTTTAAGCTCAATCCATACATGCTCCATAGGATTCAAATCTGGGGAATAAGGGGTGTGGTCCACAACCTCAATACTGTTTCTCTCCAACCTATCTATAATACTATATGCCTTGTAAACAGAAGTATTATCTTGCTGAAAAAGAACATCTTCAAGTTGTATACCAAAGAAAATCATTTGATGAATAACAGGAAAAGGATATCTTCTCAAAAGTCTAACATACCTGGTCTTATTGATAGTTTGAGTAATAGGAACTAATAGACCTTTTCTTTTACTCCCAAAGCACCCCCAAACCATAAGCGAGATTCTCTTATCCTTCTCCTTTGGGTGTACACAATCAGCCAACCACTTCTCTACAGGTTTTCTGAATACCTATTGTTGCTTTAAATCCTTGGATTTCTCCACACTACACTCGTCACTCCAAATCACCCTTTTAAAATCCTCAGCTGTCCAGTCCCTATAAGCTGTAGTCCATCTCAATCTCTTAGCCACATGATCAGGCTTTAGCCTAAGTCTTGACTTGATTATCCATTTTTTAATGTTTGCTTCTCTGAGTACCCAGTTCACTATGTAGGCAAATTTAGTAGATGATCATATCCAGTTACTCTGGGTAGCATAAAGAGTTACCAGTATCAAGAGAAATACTAGGTGCATAGCGATCCCTGAAGAGGCATCTGGTTATTTTTCGGTTAGACTTGGCTGCCTGTATAATTGTGCGACACTGTTGACCACTCAAAATAGCGGTGCGACTGGGGCGAGAGAGATTTTCAAAAGATTAGCATTCACATGCCCGGACAAGAAAGCTCTTAACAGTTGTCCATAGGCGTCTAATAATTTGAGCCACCAAGGCAATATTCCGGGAGTAGTAGAAAAAGGCCATTATCATGCTCTTCTCTGCAAGGCTCATTTCTCTCCAGGTGGTTTTAGGTAGGGGTC